ACTTTAGAAGGCAAAGAAAAAAACGAAAAGAAACCAAACCAAAGGGAGACTTACCCGTCCTTCAGGTCTGAATAGTACTATACTGTCTTAATTTGGGGTCAGGTAGGGGTCTCCATTGGTCCCATCTGGGTCACCAGGAAGAAGACACAGAAAAGTGACTTCCAATGCTGGGAGCCCCTTGAAGTCCAAGTGGGTCCTTGGCTTCATCCAAGAAAGAATTCAGGAGCGAGCCAACAAAACAAAGTGAAGGTAAGATTTATTCAGAAACTAGAGAAAGTTTCTCAGGTTTTTTTTAGTGATTTTTTCTTCTTTTTTTTTTTTTTGAGGCAGAGTCTCTCTCTGTCACCCTGGGTCAAGTGCAGCAGCGCCATCGTGGCTCACTGCAACCTCAAACTCCTGGGCTCAAGCGATCCTCCTGCTTCAGCCTCCCGAGTAGCTAGGACTACAAGCTCCTGCATCATGCTCTGCTAATTTTTCTGTTTTTAATAGAAACGGGGTCTCACTCTTGCTCAGGCTTATCTCAAACTCCTGAGCTCAAGCAATCCTCCCGCCTCAACTTCCCAGAATACTGGGATTACAGATGTGAGCCACCATTCCTGACCTTTTTTTTTTAATATATATTTTTTGAGACTATGTTGTCTTCACTGGTCACAAACTGCTGGGCTGAAGCTCTCCTCCTTCTTCCGTCTCCCAAGTAGCTGAGACGGCAGGCGCTCACTACCACGCCTAACATTTTATGTAAGGCACTCGAGCATTCTCGCATTATGATATCTGCAGGAGATCCTGGACCCGATCCTCTACGGATTTTGAGAGATGACTGTATTCATAACAGACATTTGTCTGCAGCTGTAGTTCCTGTTGTCATCTATCTTTGTTAGCATAATTTTGTCCTCAGATAATGAATTTGGATGTATACCCTTGTCTTTAATTTTCTGAACGAGTTTGAAGAAGATTGTTGTTAATTCTTTCATAAATGTTTGGTAGAATTTCAGCAGTGAAACTATTTGGTCCTGGGCTTTCATTTGTTGAAAAGGCCGGAAGTTTCAGAGGCCCAGATTTGTGACTGATTTATGAAGGGGGAGCAGTCTTGTGGGACTGAGCCCTCAACCTGTGGGATCTGATGCTGTCTCCAGGTAAATAGTGTTGAAGTCGAATTGACTTGATGTGCACTGTAGAATTCATTGCCTGCCTGGTGTGGGGGGAAAACCCCCCACATATGTGGCCACAGAAGTCTTCTGTATTGATTGTTGGTTTTGAGTGAAAGCCTAGAACACATTGAGCGGTTTTTTCCCACAGTGTACCACATAGCCACCACTCTGAACATCAGAACTACACCTCAGTGGTGACCCTAAAAATAGGCCCCATTAGCCGGATGTCTGGTCATTGCCCACCTCCCCATGACTGTCTTATTTTGTTCTGAGTCACTTACCAGCTTTGCTTCCTGATGGCTGCCATGCTCTGTGGCCTGCTGCTTGCTGGGGAGCTCATGCTGTGAGTTGTGCTATTTTGTGTGTGTTTTATGCTGTCAAATCTCTGAATTAAAACTAGAGTTCTACATTCTGTAGCAGATGAACATGTACAAGTTATGTCCTTTTTAAAATTTATTTCTTTACATTTTTATCATGAAACATATTCACAAAGGAATGAATAAAAAGAATATGGGAAGACTTCATCATAATAACAATATAAATATCCTTGGAATCCTCATCAAGATTCATACCTGGGCCTTGGGTAGTCTAGGGCCTCCTAAGAGTTCTCTCTATGACTCATCTCTCTTTTGGCCTGCAGGTGACTACTCTCCTGATTCTATGGTTATTTAAAAAATAAATGTTTAACATTTGTTATTTTTCACCAAGCAGCATTCTTTTCGTTTTGCCTCTTTTAAACTTTGTATAAGTGAGTATTTATTATAGTAAAAAGGTTTAGCTGTGGTTCCTCTGCACCACTATGTTTCACACACTCAAGTGGCTGAGGCTTTTGGCCATCCAATGTACTCATCCATTCTATTGGGTATGGTGTTTGAGCTTTTTCAGGCGCACTTCTCACTCTTTAATTTGCTAGAAATAGCAACTGATCCTTCCTTCATTCATGCATAACTATTTATTTGTTTGATGTGGTCATCAACACTTGGCATTATCTGATTGGCTAATTTTGTCCTTCTGATCACTATGGTGACATGGGATCTGCTTGACATTTTATGTGGCCCTTTCCTTATTACCCAGGAGATGGTCCTTTTGTCATATATAGTCTGCTATCTTCTCTTAAATATGTTTTGGTTATTTTTCCATAAATTAATTGTGTGTTCATTCACTTTTGTGCTGCACACTAACCCTTTTATATTGGCATGTATTGCAGATATATTTCTCCTACTTTGTATTTTACCTTCCTTAATTTTCATGCATTTAAACTTTCCAGTTCACATCTCTATGGCTTATTTTTCTTTCTTTCTTGGTTATTTTTTTAAATTAACTCTTTATTTTTGCTCCTTTTTACTTTCGTTTAAAGACAGGATCTCTCTTTGTCACCCAGGCTAGAGTGCAATGGTGTCATCATAGCTCACTACAGCCTCCAACTCCTGGGCTCAGGTAATCCTCCTGCTTCAGCCTCCTGAGTACATGGGAGTACAAATGTGGTGTTTTATTTGTTTTTTTTTTTTTGAGACAGAGTCTCGCTTTGTTGCCCAGGCTAGAGTGAGTGCTGTGGCATCAGCCTAGCTCACAGCAACCTCAAACTCCTGGGCTCAAGCAATCCTTCTGCCTCAGCCTCCCGAGTAGCTGGGACTACAGGCATGCGCCACCATGCCCGGCTAATTTTTTCTATATATATATTTTTAGTTGTCCGATTAATTTCTTTCCATTTTTAGTAGAGGCAGGGTCTCGCTCTTGCTCAGGCTGGTCTCGAACTCCTGACCTTGAGCGATCCGCCGGCCTCAGCTTCCCAGAGTGCTAGGATTACAGGTGTGAGCCACCATGCCCGGCCCAGATGTCTTTTTGATATACTGAATTCCCCTCCTTTGGATATATACCAGCAGTGGGATTTCTGGGTCATACAGTAGTTCTGTTTTTAGTTTTTTGAGGAACTTCCATACTGTTCTCCATAGTGGTTGCACTAATTTACATTCCCAGCAACAGTGTACGAGGGTTCCACTTTCTCCACATCCTCGCTAACATTTGTTATTGCCTTTTCGATAAAAGGAATTTTAACTGGGGTGAGATGATATCTCATTGTAGTTTTGATTTGCATTTCTCTGATGATTAATGACGTTGAGCATTTTTTCATTTGTATGTCTTCTTTTGAGAAATGTCTATTCAGACTTTTTGCCCATTTTTTATTTGGATTATTTGGTTTTTCCTATTGAATTGTTGGAGCTTTTATATATTCTAGAAAAATATGGAATGCTTCATGAATTTACATGTCATCCTTGCACAGAGGCCATGCTAATCTTCTCTGTATCATTCCAATTTCAGTATGCATGCTGCTGAAGCGAGCACTTTCCTTTTCTTATATGAGAAAATTCTGTTCTTGCATCAAAAAGACATTTGCCAGGGACTTTTCAAAGCATTCTAATTTTATCTTTCACATTGACCTACACAGTAAATTGATGATTGTTCATGGAATGGAGGGGAATACAGTGCATTTATCCAGTTAGATATCAGTTTGTCCCTGCCTCATGTATTAAGGTGCTTATGAATTCTGCCAGTATTCCACAAACATTGCTCTGCCAGCAATCAACTTTTCGTATATATGGTGGGTTATTGAAGACTCTTTTCCTTTCTCTTGATCTATTTGTTTATCTGTCTGTTAATAGTATGGTGTCCTGAATATTATAGTTTCAAAACCTTTTATTTATATTATACAAGCTGTCACTTCCTTGTTCAGAATATTTTTACCATTGTTAGACATTTGATACTTCTGTTTGGTTTGGTGAAGTAGTTTTTGTTGACTACTTAAAGATCTGCTTGTGGGATTCAAGGAACTCTAAATATTTGTGAGAGCTATCAGCTTGGTGACATTGAGTTCCTTATAATAACATGTGTCATCTTTCCCCCATGTCCTTTTGCATTGACACTATCCAATAAAATGTTTAAAATGTCTCCATTAGGATGTTCAGATATCTTTCAGTAGCCTTTTGTCATACTTAATTAAATTTGGCCTATAGGAAACCAGGTTCCAGCTTCCAAACGTTCTCTCTTAGTCTAATCACATAGGATGGACTGAATTCCCCAAGAAAAAAATTGTGACAAAAACCTGTGAAATAGTATATAATATACCAGCAAAGCTCATTAGACACTCCGTGCACAGGGTGGTTTTTTGGGGTGGTTTTTTGTTACACCCTCGGCTGAGCATGTAACAAAATTCTAACTCAGCCAGGTGTGGTGGCTCACACCTGTAATCCTAGCTCTTTGGTAGGCTCAGGTGGGAGGATCACTTGAGGCCGGGAGTTCAAGACCCTGTCTCTACAAAAAATACACAAAAAAATTAGCCAGGAGTGGTGGCACACGCTTATAGTCCCAGCTACTTGTTGCAGGAGGATTGCTTGAGCCCAGGAGTTCGAGGTTGTAGTAAGCTAGGATGACGCCACTGCACTCTAGCCCAGGAGACAGAGCAAGACCCTGTCTCAAGAAAAACAGCAAAAGAAGAAAATTCCAAACTCTCAGAGGGAAGACAAGAGTTATACAAATACTATATGGTTTGCATAACAGTTTGGGCACACTGAGCCCCCCTTAAAAGGTAAGTTGATGTGGTCCCTCTAAAAGTCCAGTTCCCAGATACCATCAAAAGTCAAACTTTGTGAAAAGCGTTTGTAAGGATAAGCAGTCTCAGGACTGATAATGTTATCTCTCTTCTTCTGCAGACTAAGTAGTCTGACTTTATTATGACTAGTGTTACAGACCCACTGTACAGAGAGACATTAGGCATGTCCCAGGCATTGCTGAAGAGGAATGTTCCTGTTCATTTGTTACTTTCCTAAATTGTTCAGTTTTAGCATCAGAATTGCTATGTGTGAAGAGGTGAGCATAGACAGAGAATTAGAGTCTGATAACCAAGTCATAGAATAAATGTTTCAGGACCATGCGTCATATGAACCTCTTATGAATTGAGTATACATCAGGGCTGTTCAGTTTTACCCATCCTCCTCTGAACATGTGGGATATTTCAGGAGTCGGTGACCTTTGAGGATGTGGCTGTGAACTTCACTCGAGGGGAGTGGGCTTTATTGAATCCTTCCCAGAAGAATCTGTACAGAGATGTGATGCGGGAAACCTTGATGAATCTGTCCTTTGTAGGTAAGGATATTATTCCTTCACTTAATCGATTTAGAAAACAAATGTTGCTTGCTAATCAACACTGTTCATGATTGGCAATATGGAAGGGGAATGCTTTGGTGAGTAAATAAAGCATGGCTGAAGTGTGCCATGAACAGACAATCTAATAATTTCTCTATAATTTTATAATTTTTCTGGGTTTATATTTAGGAATAAAATGGGAAGACCAGGACATTGAAGATCGATACAAAAATCCAAGGAGAAATCTAAGGTAATTTGTACTCAGGAGAGAAGATGATTTCCTTGAGAGAGAATCTTAGAATATCAGAAAGTGTCAAAAACAAGAAAACAAAACAAGTTAAGCTGAGCTTCAAATTTATTTATTCTTAGAAAGTTGTCATCAAAATATACACATAGGCCGGGCGTGGTGGCTCACGCCTGTAATCCTAGCACTCTGGGAGGCCAAGGCGGGCAGATCATTTGAGCTCAGGAGTTCGAGACCAGCCCGAGCAAGAGCGAGACCCCGTCTCTACTAAAAAAGTAGAAAGAAATTAGCTGGACAATTAAAAATATATATATAAAAAATTATCCAGGCATGGTGGCACATGCCTGTGGTCCCAGCTACTTGGGAGACTGAGGCAGTAGGATTGCTTGAGCCCAGGAGTTTGAGGTTGCTGTGAGCTAGGTTGACGCCATGGCACTCACTCTAGCCCAGGCAACAGAGTGAGACTCTGTCTCAAAAAAAAAAAAAAATTGAAAAAATATACACATAAAAGTGACATAGACATTTATTGTTGGCAAAATGGTTCCCTTGGAAACAGTATTAAGAAATCCCATATGAATACCACTGTTTTGATAATAGTTGCAGTTTCAGAGCATTCAGTCCATTCACAACAAACAACTCAAGACAGGGCACAAAGCCTACACTTTCCCTGATACTGTTAAAAATTTAAGTTTAAAACCTATTAACACATGTGCAGTCCTTTATAAATAAATCCTCAATAATGTGTCTCATGTTTTTTACAGACGTTATATGGCAGAGAAACTCCACGAAAGTAAAGAAGGGCGTCAACGTGGAGAAGCCTCGAGCCAGATTCTGGAGCATGTTCTGAACAAGAAAACTCCTCCTGCAGTAAAAGCATGTGAAAGCAGTGTGTATGGAGAGGTCGCCATGGGCCATTCATTTCACATGAGAGATCACAATAAACGTGAACTACATGTGCATCAGGAATTCACAGGGAAGCCATATACACGTAGCCAATGTGAGAAAGCCTTCGGTGATCACTCTTTCCCAACACATGAAAGTCCTCACACTCATGCTAGACAGAAACCCTATGATTGTAAGGAATGTAGGAAAACCTTTATTTCTCCCAAAACCCTTCGAACACACATGATAACACACACTGGAGATGGACCTCATAAATGTAAGTTTTGTAGGAAAGGCTTTGCTTATCCCAGTTTGTTATGTATACATGAAAGAAGTCACACTGGGGAGAAACCCTATGAATGCAAGCAATGTGGGAAAGCCTTCAGGTATTCCTATTACATTGAAATACATAAAAGAATTCACACTGGAGAGAAACCCTATAAATGTAAAATATGTGGTAAAGCCTTTATTTATCCTGTTCAAAGTCATGAAAAGACTCACAATAGAGAGAATCTGTACGAATGTAAGCAATGTGGGAAAGCCTTCTCTCTCATAAGTTTGCGAAGACACATGATAATGCACACTGGAGAGGGACGCTACAAATGTAAGGTATGTGGGAAGGCCTTTGATTACCCCAGTGAAGTTCGAATACACGAAAGAATACACACTGGAGAGAAACCCTATCAGTGTAAGCAGTGTGGGAAAGCCTTCAGTTGTTCCAGTACCTTTCGAAAACATGAACAGATTCACACTGGAGAGAAACCCTATAAATGTACGAAATGTGAGAAAGCCTTTAGATCTCGCAGTTCTGTTAGAAATCATGAAATGACACACACTGGAAAGAAACCCTATGAATGCAAGGAATGTGGGAAAATGTTTATTTGTGCCACAAGCCTTCGAAGACACGTGATAATGCACACTGGAAATGGAGCTTACAAGTGTAAGGTGTGCGGGAAGGCCTTTGCTTTTCCCAGTTCATTTCATAGACATGAAAGAAGTCACACAGGAGAGAAAGCCTATGAATGTAAGCAATGTGGTAAAACCTTCCGTCGTTCCGGTTCCTTTCGAATACACGAAAGAAAACATACTGGAGAGAAGCTGTAGTCATGTAAATAACGTGGGAATTCCTTCATGTAGCCCAAGTACACTGGAATATATAGAAGAATTCACACTGGAGAGAAATTCTATGAACCTAAGCAATGCAGGAAAGCATTCCATTTTCCCAGTTCCATTATTTATTTTATTTTTTGTTTTAATCTAATTTTTTTTTTTTAATAGAGAAGTGGTCTTGCTTTTGTTGAGACTCATCTTGAACTCCTGAGCTCAATCAATCCTCCCAGCTTGGCCTCCCAGAGTGCTAGGATTATAGGCATGAGCCACTACGTCTGGCCCCCAGTTCCTTTTAAATTCAGGAAATACTCAAAATGGAGAAAGACCCTACGAGTGTAAAAACTGTGGTAAAGGCTTCAGGCTTTTCTAGTTACTGCCAAATGCACAGAAGAACTCTTACTGGGTAGAAACCCTATGGTCATTAGGAATGTGGAAAGCATTCATACGTATCAGGTACTTTCTAAAACTTGGAAAAAGAATCGCAGTGTAGAAAAATCCTGTGAATGTAAAAAATGTGGTAAAAACCTTTCATTCCTGTTATTTTTTTTATTTCAGCATATTATGGGGGTACAGATGTTTAGGTTATGTATGATGCCCTTGCCCCCCAAGTCCCAGCTTCAAGTGTGTCCATCCCCCGGGAGCTGCGAATCTCACTCGTTGTTTGTGCGTATGCCCGTCCCCTTCTCCCCCTCTCCCCTCCCCCTGCCCAACATATGCGCCAATAGCAGTCATACCGAGAACCAAATCAAAGACTCAATTCCCTTCACAATAGCAACAAAGAAAATAAAGTACCTAGGAATATATTTAACTAAGGAGGTAAAAGACCTCTACAGGGAGAACTATGAAACATTGAGGAAGGAAATAGCAGAGGACATAAACAGATGGAAAACCATACCATGCTCGTGGGTCGACAGAATCAACATTGTTAAAATGTCTATACTACCCAAAATGATCTACAGATTCAATGCAGTCCCTATTAAAATACCAACATCATTCTTCACAGATGTAGAGAAATTAATTGTACGCTTCGTATGGAACCAGAGAAGACCCCGCATAGCAAAAACAATTCTAGGCAATAAAAACAAAATGCGAGGCATCAATTTACCAGACTTCAAACTCTATTACAAAGCTGTAATAATCAAATCAGCTTGGTACTGGCACAAAAACAGAGCCATTGACCAGTGGAACAGAACTGAGAACCCAGATATGAAATCATTCCTGTTATTTTTAAATACATGAAAGAAATCATACTGTTGAAAAATCACACAATGTAAGGAGTGTGGGAAAGCCCTTATTTGTTCTACTTCTCTTCCAAAGCATGAAATAACTCATGTTGGAGAGAAACCCTAAATAAAGAATTGGGAGGGACTGGGCACGGTGGCTCACGCACTCTGGGAGGCTGAGGCGGGAGACTCGCTTGAGCTCAGGAGTTTGAGACCAGCCTGAGCAAGAGTGAGACCCCCGTCTCTACTAAAAATAAAAAAAGTTAGCCAGGCTTCATGGTGCGCACCTGTAGTCCCAGCTACTCGGGTGACAGAGCAAGACCCTGTTTCAAAAAAAAAAAATTGTGGAAAAGGTTTTTTCTTATCACATAGGCTTTCTAGCACACATGGTAATGCATAGTGAAGAGAATACCTATAATTGTAAAGAGTGAGAAATCCTTTGATAATCTTGGTTCCATTCATAGCCATCAAGGAACAAAGAGTAGCACAAATCCTCTTGAATATAAGCCATGTGCAGAAGTCTTCAGTTGCTCCACACCTATGAATGCAGACTGTATGTAGAGCCTATAAATGTGAAAAATGCAAGAAATTGCTCAGTTTTAACAAACACCTTTTTTTTTTGAGACAGAGTCTTGTTCTGTTGCCCCAGTTAGAGTGCAGTGGCACCATCATAGCTCACCACAACTTCAAATTCCTGGGCTCAAGTGATCCTCCTGCCTCAGCCTCCCAAGTATCTGGGACTGCAGGTGCACACCACCACCACCATGCCTGGATAATTTTTTCAATTTTTGTTAGAGACAGGGGTCTCGCTCTTGCTCATACTGGTCTTGAACTCCTCACCTCAAGAAATCCCCCTGCCTTGGCACTCCCAGAATGCTAGGATTACAGGAATGAGCCATGGTGCCTGGACAGCAAATACTTTGAAAGTCATGAAAACTCCCTTTGTAGAGAAATCCTATAAATGTAAGTAAGTTGAAGAGCCTGATGCAAAGTAGTTTACGTAGAATGTTCCAGAATATACACAACTTGAAGAAAATATTATAAAAGTTATAAATATATTGCCTTTATCAGTAGCTCATACTTAAAGTGGGTCTCTGGACTAAGAATTTCTAGTTCTTACCCTGGAAAAGTAACCTTGAGGAAACATAATTCTGTAAGTACTATTTAAGCAATAGTGTATTTGTTTAATAGGCAAAAAATTTTTTCCTAAATCAGTAATAGAATTTTTCTCCTTCCATTTTGAAGTGTGTTGTATCCATGGCTGAATCAAAATGTCTTTTAAATATGCAGGTAAGTTTCATTTTTATGTGGTTTTTCAATAGTTCTGTGATTCATCACCATTGAAAAATGAGTGTTAATTTTGGGAATTTTCCTACTGGTCTCATGTGACAGGTTTTAGATATCATATACCCTATATGTGTTCCACCTTTCTTTGCTATGGGAAATGCTACTTTTGCAGGGAAGACAAAGTTGTTTATTTCATTTTCCTTGCTAATAGTTGACGTCACTTTTTAAATGTGTAAAGTTTACCACAGAGTACAGTCTCATGTGAATTATTATTTTCATCTTTTGTTCTTTACCCTGTCATTATTGTTTGCCATTATTTGAAACATTGAATATGAGAAACCTTCGATTGGACAATAAAATCTGGAGTTGAGCACTAGTCCATCATGGGTTTTTCCTATGAATAGAGTGATATCTATGCAAGTCTACGGTAATTGCCTGGTTGAAACACTGAAAAGATTTATGGATGTGTGCAGGTCAGTTGTGCAGGTAATAATTGATGTGAACTTCAGACAGAGCTTATCATTTTGAGTACTATCCTAATTTAGTGGAAATGGAAGTATATTTGACATCCTCACGGTGGGAAATGTTTGATGTCTTAATACAAGAAGAGTAGCTGAATGTATTGTGTTTCAATGATCCACAACATCCCAAAGTTTGTTTACTATTCACAGGTGTCATTTTCATATGCTTAGACTTCAGCACATGTTATGGAAGGGGAAGGGGGAATGTAACCATTTTGTGTTTTATTAAAGAATAAAGGAAATCCAGTCTTTATCCATTTTTTTTCAGTTCTAACTTATGTTTTCTTCAGACTGTTGAGATTATGGAATTTCATGATTTTTTTTCTCTTCTTGCTCATATTATTCCTTCCATCTTACAAGGAAGAAAGTTAAGTGCAAGGAAGCACAGGCCTTACCCAAACTCACATACCTCATAATCTCTCAATGTCATGGCCAAATGTGTTACCGAGTGTCCTGGGCACTGTCAAAAATATCAAACTCAGGAGAATATTACAAGTTTCATATAATTATGCACTTTTACAAATGTGGCATCAAATTTGACAAACGAGACTCAATATGGTGTTCCATTTAATGTGATATTCTAGCAAACACAAAGGTGTAGGCACATAAACCCAGATCAGTGGCTAAGGATGGAGGAGTTCGGTGCAAATGGAAATCACAGGAGTCTTCACATGATTGAATGTTCTGCATCTTGCTGGTGGCATAATAACACACCAGTGAAAATTCACAGCTACACTTAAAATCGTACATGTGTATATTGAACATAATAGGAAAAAAAACAACAAAGATGCTTTCATGTGCTAGAAGAATGTTAAATTCTCTTAAACCTTGATTTTTAGGTGTGCCATGTTTCTTTCTGTTAATAGTACCATGAGATTCTTCTTGGGAAGTGTTACAAGACTGAGGAAACAGGACTTAGGGCTCCAACAGGCCTGTCTTGAAACCCCTTGTGATGATAGGAATCATTTTTTGTGGCCACACCTGCCTACATATCACAAACAGTTGAATAGAAGTGAGGGGTTTGCCACAATTTGTCTTTGATTTTACACCAGGTGTCTCAAGTAAGATCTTTGGGATTTCTGCACTTCTGAAATATAAAGACATTCCTCAATGGTTTTATCCAAGTGGGATCTCCTGGGAAGCATCCTAATCCTTGGGCATCAGCATCATGTCTTTCCAGAATCAGTCTTGTGGCCATTTCTACATCTAAGTTTTCCATCTCAATCCCACTCTCTGCCTTTTTTACTGGGAAATATCTTTAGGCATCCACACTCACCCCATTCTTTGGGAAATTTCTCTGCAGCAAGCCCAGGAGGCCACGATGTGAAATGATGGAGGAAGCAGTGGCAGAACTCACTGTGATTTATCTCTAAATATTTCCTAATTTTGACTGTTATTTGATACATTCAATGTATAAGCTAATGCTTAGTTGCCAAAAATTTGTGAATTTTCAAGTTTTCCTTCTGTTATTAATAAGTCTTAAGTTTATACAAAGTATCTCTTATATGGGCCCATTGTAATCACAGGAAATAATTTGCATAATTATTTTATTTTTATTTTATTTTATTTTTTGTTTTTTTGAGGCAGGGTCTCACTCTGTTGGCTGGGTTAGACTGCAGTGGTGTCATCATAGCTCACTGCAACCTCAAACTCCTGGGCTCAAGTAATCCTGCCTCAGCCTCTCAAGTATCTGGGACTACAGGCACTCGCCACCATGACTAGCTAATTTTTTAAACTTTTTTGTAGAGAGAATGGGGGTCTCTCTATGTTGCTTAGGCTGGGGTCAAACTCCTGGCCTCAA